CCACGCTCTAACGCTGACCCCCAGAGGTCTGCTCCTTTTTCCCCATGCTCCAAGCAGTCTTGGAGGTGGGACCCAAAAACCGGTTGAAAGAAGAACATGCTCCAAAGAGTTTTCAGCCAACAAGTCTTCAATTTTATCTGGTGCAGCACATCAACCAAACCAACAACCAAGAACAATGGCAGACATGTTTCTTATTTAGTGTTAGAACAAAATTAGAAGAAACCATTTTTAAAATGATGTGTAGCGGCAAAATAAAAAGAAAAGATGGTTTTAAATGAACAGCTAATTAAGAAATACTTTTACCAATAAATTCATACAGCAAATATTTAAATTTAACCCAAACAAATATTCAAAACATAATATTGAAAACACTATAAATGAGATCGAATTCCCCCTTCAATTCTCCAATGGTGCAGATCTGTTTACACCTGCAGAGTGAAACAGTAGGCGAGCAGCACAATGAATTTTGATATTTTAATTCTTCAATTCATCTGTTTCTCTTTTAGGAAGAGTTAAACAAAAACTAAATATTGTAAAGTGAAATCAATTTACCTTTTTCCAACAATAAAAACAAGATGTGGCCTACAAAAGAAACCACACCGCAAACAAATCCACTTCACCCAAAACAACAAAAATAAGCCAGTCTACCAAACCAGATGCTGTGTTTAACTGTTATTTTAGCTGATATACAGGTAACAAAGGCTCATTGTTACAAACACCATCTTCTGCTCGAGCAGCGACCCTGTTCCTCTCTACCATCTCTGGGTTTGTCATTTCAGGTTTGCGACTCTTTCGTCCGTTCTGCTGAACCACTGTGAAGTGAATGGAGCGGGGGAGGCTGGAGAAATCAGGAGGAGAACACCTAGTATCCTGCACTGTGGCGGCTCACATGGGGCTCTGTTTCTTCCTGAATAAATTGTTTGAAGATAATCTAATCTGGTTTCCTTAGACAGAAGCTTTGAATTTTGAATCTGACTGGATGATCAGATTGAACCAATGTGTTTTAAAGACATAAACTGATTCTGTATGAATACACTGAATGGATTTGATCTGTTCTGTCTTCAAATGTCCTGAAGAATCCTGACAACAAACTCATGCAGACTATTTGACTCTTTGATTCTTCAGCTCTATATTTGTCTTCATTATGACTTTTACTCTTTATTTAATTCTTTGCTATGTTGCATCATTTCATGTTCCTGTCTTCCTGTAATCTACAGATCTGTTTATATCCAGTGTTAAAGTCACACTGGATGGTAATATAAAAGGATCATATGAAAAATCCTTTTTAAAAGAGCAATGATGAAGAAGGCAGTGGAGATGGTGAGGGATTATGTTCAGCTTTGACTAGCCCTGATCCAGGACCTGGTTCAGCTTTCTATTGGTGGGAGTTGACCTGCCTTAACCCCAGAGATCAGACGTGAAGTGGTTGGACCTCAGTCGGTCTCTATTGTCCAAATGGGAAGATGTGGCTGCCATTACTGAACAACTGGAGCAGCTGAGAGGACTGGAGCTCTGGTATACCCTCCTCTGACAGGCCTCATTATGCTTTTATTGGTTTTAACTGATCAGCATTTTTATTTCTGCTAGTGACAACAGACTTAGTCTGACCTCCGACCCCTGGGCTCACCAGCAGGCTTTCCGCAGCCTGAAGGTCCTGGCTCTCAACAGCTGCAGCATCACCTGGTTGGAGGTGAGGGCCTTTACATTTCCACCGCACTCTCACCTGGTTTAACATCAGACCAAGATAACAAACATTAAATCACCCTTGCATCATTGTTGGGCAAAAAGCGAGCCAACTTATCCCACCTTTCTGTAATGCAGCAGCTACCCTTAAACCCAGACTGAGTTTTATTGCCATAACTTTGGGAATACGTCGCATTTTGGGTGGTGATCGATTGATTTAATTTATTGACTTTACTGATCTCACATTGGAGAAATTTACTTGTTAAATCGGCTCAATAGTCAAAAAGAAGAAGGTACCAAGTGGAGGAAAAGGTGCATGGGTTATATACAGTATATACCAGCTCCACAGGCAGCACCGTCCAGGAAACACACAGCCAGTCAGACCAGCTCCTTCTACTGGGTCTCAGAGAGTCCTTGTTTGGTTTGTCAAAAATATCAACAATCCGTAAAGTAGAAAATGCTCCAACTCTGTATCAGGATACAATACTAACTTGGGATGTTATCCACACTATAGATGAGGGTTGTTACTCCTATTGCTCATTGTAGATTTCTGGATTATTTCCAGAGTAAAAGAATTAGACCTCAGACAACCTAAAGTATCATCAGATTGGATTACATTCAATTAGTTTGGCCTGTGATCGTAGTTCTGGCTGTGTGTTTCCTGGGCGGGGCCGTCTTTTACAGCTTCTTTTTCTATGTCTGCTTCTGTCTCTTTGAACCCCAGTGGGCCTCAGCAGATGGCCGCTCACACTGAGCCTGGTTCTCATGGAGGTTTCTTCCTGTTCGAAGGGAGTTTTTCCTCTCCACTGTCTCTACAAGCATGCTTAGTGTGAGGGATTGCTGAAGAGTCAATGAGTCGATGCAATCAACTGTTTATCCTTAGATATAAAACTTTAAATCAATCTGACTGGATGATCTGGTGAACTATAAAGTGCCTTGAGATGACGTGTGTTATGAACTGGTGCTATATAAATAAACTGAATTGAATTGTGTTGATAAGGGAAGAATGTTTCAAGTAAAAAGGTGATTTTTCATGTCAATAAAAAAACCTTTATGCATTTATAATTGAAAAGTTGACCTAGATGTAGAAACGTTAGCTGGTTGTAAACAGCCTAACTGTTGGTATTAACCTTCCTCCACATCCTCATAGACGTTTCTCTGTTGTCAGATCCTGGAATGCGCCCCCATGTGGCCTCAGTTGGAGGAGCTGTCAGTAGAAAATAACAACATAACGGAGCTGCAGCGGTGAGATTCCTGTCTTCCATTGAGTCTGTAATCTGGTTTATTGCTCCTCTGGGAAACTAACTCAGGCTTCTTCTCTGAAGGCCTGAGGGAGTCCTGCAGATGCTGAAGATACTCCGTCTGTCCTGTAATCCTTTGAAGCAGGAGACTGTGTGCAGGTTGTCCTCTCTGCCAAGGTACAGTCAGCAGCACCAATTATTTTATCACAGTTTCATGACATCATGAGGAAAGACGTGTAAAATGACTGGTCTCCTCACCAGGGAAATGCAGGAAGTAGTTAATCTGACCTCCTCCAGTAGGAATCTGTATAAATACCTGGAAGGCTCCCAGCACATGTCCAGATAACCATGGCAACAGTGCTGCCAATAAATTAAGATCAGTGTTCTTCATTACAACAGCCTTTATTAATTAAGGGCCTCCTCTGCTCTAGAAGAGGTTTTTCTGCAAAAAGCTGTGAAGGTCTCCACATACACTTCATTAAACCAGTTAGACAGTAGGAGGAGGCAGTAAACCTGAAGTAGTCTGCCCCCTGATGCCCCTCACAGCCACGCAGGTGTGAAACACGGCCTGAAACACCTTGTTTTGACTATGTAAATAATAACCAGCAGTCATAATTATCAGACGTGAATAAACAGATTTTTCCGACAACTACAGATAGACTATTTATTCCTGGGTTAGAATCAATCCCTGTAATCATCGACTCCAGGCTTAGAAGCCTGAAAAGAAACACCCTGGTTAGTTACCAGTAACCCCCCCTCCCCTTCCAACAGCTGGGAGTTTATTGGCGCTCCAATAAAAGAGAAAATCAATAGAAGATGCTTGGTTCACTCCAGATAGAAACGGTTCTATCAAAGGAGGAACATGCTGGGTTTGGCTCCACCTGCAGGCAGCTTGAGGCAGATGGACATGGGGGTGTACAAAAAAATCCTTTTGGCAAAATATGATTCTTGGCGGCCTGATATAATATAGATTTTTTTATTTCTTTTTTAAAGCAAAACATTTTTACCTTAAACGGAGGAAAAATGGGCTTCCTATGCACCGCCAGTCTGGCAGATGGCGCTGTGGAGCCCTTTAGCAGTGCGGCGCAGAGCTATATCTTTAGTTCAGGCAGTCACAGCAGAAACAAACAACATGGATACCAAAATAACTGAATGAAATTTGAGAATCAGCCCGTATCTCTGACCATCTGCTTTGTTCGAGGGCAAAAACCTGCACTCCTACACACCGGTTGCTCACAGTTAACAATCAAACTGCATCACAGTTTCCAGCCAGGTGATGCTGGAACTTGTGGTGATATACTTGGCCCTCTGGATGATTGTCCTGCTTTTAACTTTAGAACAAAGCGCAGAAAAGCACTTTCTGAACCGTGGCTTAATGACTGGGCGGTGATCTGGTACAGCTGGTGCAAAACGCAGCTGCCCGTCTCCTTACTGTTACACGGAAACGTGACCACATAAAACCCATCCTAGCTTTGAAGTTTTTACTGTATTTCCTGAAACGGTGATATCTGGACAGCACTTTGGTCAACCCTGATGTTTTAAATGTGCTTTATAAATAAAGTTTGAGTTGAGAACTGAATGATTAATATCATCTGATGATCATATTCAGAGGTTGCATTTTTATCTTTACATTCAACTTTGATAGCAGGAAATATTTGCCATATATGGTGATAGTATCGTATTGTGTGAGCCGTATCGTATGGCAACACCCATGCCAATACTCCGCCCAAATAGACGGCCTGAGAGTGCAACAGCTGGCTTAAGCTACACCCACATCTATGTGTTGAAATAACAATGTTGAGGTGATTCTAATAAAACAATGTTTTTGCTTTTCCATGGCAGACTGGAGCAGCTGAATCTTTCTGAAACCGGACTGTCATCATTTCAACTTGAAGATGCAGATCAAGGTTTAATAATCTACGTTCTCTGGAATATGACCTCTATGTGTATTATGCATCTATCTTGGTTTTTTTGTCGCATTATAGGATTTAGTTTCATTAATAGCAGACTGACAGGCAAAGGAGAGCAGATGATGCAAACTAAAGATAAGCCTCTAATAGAAGGACTGCAGGAATAAATCTAGAGTAAATAGTTCTATAAAGGCTGTTATCCTATCTACTGTTATACCAAAGGAGGAAGCAGCAGTTAGATGATTCATTTCTCCCAAAAGTCCTCTTCTGGTTCTTCTTTGCTTTTTCCCTTTTTCAAAATGAAGGATTTCCTACTTTATGTTTTTAAACCCTCGTGAAAGTGAGCGACGGTGAAAGCAACAGTTTTTCTTACCCAGGGTTCTTTGAATCAAATTAAATTGATTAAGGCCCATTATTTAATAAAATTAACGGATGGGCCTTCTTTGTTAATGTTTATTTCCCCCATTTTTTCCTGAACTATCTCCACAGTTCTCTGCAGACCAACCTCCGCTCACTTTCTGGAATCATTAAAAGAGAAAACTAAAGAGCAAAGTTGATTTCTAATAAATTCATTCTACATCTTTGTGTTTAGATAACTTTTTAAATTTTTACTGAAACACCAAAGAAGGAACCAGAGTCTGATCCTGTAATTAACACTACAATTAGAGAGAGGTGCAGCAGAGTGCCTGCATAGGGGGCGGGGACGCCTTTTTTGTTCACTGCGTCACACAAACGACCTAGTTTAGAAGTATAAACCAGCCTTAAGGCCTCCATGTATGGGTCGTTTGCGCTAACCACTGCCCCACCAAAGCATGGCCAGCTTCAATATCTTTGAGGAGATTCACTCTGACTTTCCTTCATTACTTTCCTTAAGTCCTGGTTTCAGAGTCGGTCCGCTGTTGTTGTGCAATTTTACCAGAAGAA